TTTAATTTACTTTGTTTCTGGCCCGGCATTCTGTGTTGTCGCACCTTTGGCTTGTTGGGTGACTCTCCAACCATTCCTTTTTTTACTTGTATGGGCCCTGTCAGTTTAATACTGTTGTGGCATTTTGAACGGATGACCGACCACGTTAAGCCCACTTTTGAGCCGAAAATCACCATAAAGTGAGGCTTACATAGTGATTGGTATTGAATAGATCTCAACTTACTCCATCCCCTGCGGAGTGCTGACCTTTCTTCGAGCGTCCGCTTAACGACCTGCGTCGCTCACTTTCACGCATAGATTCACCCTTTCTTCCTGGGAAAGATTCTGAACATGCCGTTTATTTTTCTTCTTTTTTAGAAACCCATGTCTTGTCCATCTCTTATTAGGAAGAGCAATGTACTCCAATCCTCAAAAAGTTTGCACCTACGACAGTTTTGAGGTGCTCGTAGGATCATATGCGTGAAAAGTCTTCTTATCACAAGAATGCCAACCGATAACTTAAGACTAATAATAAGCAAGAGGAAAGAATTGTACATAGAAAAGTGCGCTTACATCTTCATTAGCGCTTGTGACTCACAAATGCTTCCTGGTCTCCTGTTTCTGAAACTAGATTATTTTTGTTTTTTGCAGCAATTTCAAGTCAACCCAATGCTGAAAATATCCAAGGAACTCTTTGCAAACCTCGACTGGTGGTCTAGATTGTACGCCACCCTCAACTCCATGGACGACGCAGAGGAGGTTTGGATATATTAAGCGTTTACGTTTTAAAAATTTCTTTTGCCGCAAATCTATTTTGCTAAAGCTTTGCATTGAATGCTGTCATCCCTATACAGTATATAGTCTTCGTTTTACGTCCTTATCGTGAGAAGGTCAGGAATTAATAAGGCACTTTGAAATACAACGAGCAGTAGCACCCGTTTAGGGGGTGGTGCATGAATAAGATGGAGGATGTAGAAGAAATAGATGTTATTCCTGGGATATCTCCTTCTGCTCAATTACTTCCCGGGACCCCCATGCTCCCTTGCAATAGCAATGGAGGGCGGACTTTGTTGCTTAAATGCCTACGTCGCAGAAGATATTATGAACTTGTGGATCACCTCATCATGCAAGGCTGGAACTTTCTGAGGGTAATGAAACCCATAAGGGAAGTTAGATTGGGATAGTAGTTCGCAAGAATAGGTTACCCGACTGCTTGGCAGTCACTTTATTAGATCAGAATTAGAGTATTCCATACTTTGCAGTAAGTTGGGCGGATAAATTGACCTAAAGATGATCCAACTCCCGGCTCCGACCGGGGCCTAGTAACTCAGATGGTTAAAACGTTGGCTGTACACAAGCCTTGCACTTCCCGTGGTGGGTTCGGAGCCCACCAAGGACGCTAAGTTTTCCACAATTTAGTCGGAATAGCTATCTGAATTCCCAAGAGTCCCTTTGCGCTCCTCGAAAGGGACAGCGA